GAACATATTGCAAGACTTTTCAGCTTGCAAATAAATGGTTTGATATTCAAGCATTAACAATGAGCTGGAGCATTGTCAGCCTCAACTGGCCTTCCACTTCTGGAGGCAAAAGCACCAGGCTCTTCCAGCACAAGGCAATATCAAGTACAGCTGTTTGAGATAGGACTAGTCAAGCATTGCATGCATGCAGCTGTACTGTTCTTCATCGCCCAAGCTAGCTCACTCAAGGCTCTTGAATTTGCCATGTTTACATATCCTAAGTCTTTGTCATTTTATATGACTTCCAGTTGAACATTTTTTTATCTGCTTTTCTTGTATCAAAGTACTCATTACACTGTTTTATGACAGCCTAGTGATTGAAGAACTGCTTCTTGGATTAGGAAATATGGATTATGAAAAAAGGGCATGATGAAAGCTAGTTGAAATAATCCATCTTTTGTTAATTCTGCCAGCTACTCACCCATGCCCTCTTCTAGGTCTGTTTTTTCTAAAATAATCATGGATTACTACTGATACAGTATTATCTGTAGCATTTTAGATCATTCCTTTGGGACCTCAAATGACTTTATAGTCTCTCATTTTAATTATACATTCACAGTATAATGTAGGGATTTGGAGATAAGAAGGCATGAGGCCTTGGGCTGCTTTCTTACATAAGAAAGAACAAACACTGATTTATTTATTACCTCAACAAGAACATTGGAAAGAATTAACATAGTGAAAAACTGTGCCCATGTGTGACCAGTCTTTGGATCCATCTGTACACATTCCCATGACTGTTCCCATTCTGTTCATGCACAGCATCTCAGACTTTCCCACCTGTAGACCCTCCCAGGGTTCTGACCTGTCATAAAAGAACAGTGAAAAGAGGCACAGAGCAAAAATACCTGTGCTTTCCAGAGAGTGTAGTTACAACCTCCTTCATGGAAATTTTATATCTTTGCATGCCATGCCAGCAGAATAATTTTGACTGTCATAGTAAACTCTGGAATACCCTTTTTTCTGTATGTGGTTCTGTGCACATAGCTAAAGAAAACCCCCTCTCACCATCAAGCCTATCATGCTCTCTGGAAGAACAACGGGAATGCACCAAAAAGATGAAAAAAAAGAAAATTAGGAGAAAAGGAAATTAGTAGTAATACTGAAAATGTACATATTCAAGGCCTCAACTCAAATCCTGTGTAGTGTCACCCAGAAAACAGGCTGCACAGCAGATGCTGATTTAACAAGAAAGGAAACCAAAATTATTTTTTACAGGTATACATGGCAGGGAACAAAGGAGATGTGAGGACCTGCTTGTCATGTTGCTAATTAAAAACTAGTAGTTATTATTCTCATTAGGGATGCTCAGTGAAGCCAGTTAAATGCTGTTTTCTGAAACTGAAGTACTTTGTTCTGACTTCACATCACCTGTAAGTGCTAGACAATCAGATCTAGAAAGCAACAGATGTACCATTCAGAAGAGCCTGATGTCCTCCAGATACACATGAAGCAGAAGCCAAACCCTCAGAGATAGCCACAGCATAGAGGAACATCACTCTTCTACTAAGGTTAAACACCTTTCTCTGTTTAAAAGATGACACAAACTGTTCAATAATCTATAGTCACTGTTTGTGTTGCAATCTGCTGAGCCTCCAGTGCACCTGAAATAAATTCAGAGGCCAAATCATTTGAGCAAAATTAATTAAATCCTTGCCACTTTCTCACCACAATTTTTTAAAAGGCATTGGAAAAACTGCCTCATTAACTATTAAAAAGTGTGTCTTTAGTCTTTTTCAAACACATTTCAAACATGCATGGCCTCACTGCCCCACTGAGGAAGCAAAATTTCCAAAAATAAGGACAGATCTTCTAAATCTGTGTTGACACAAGTTAAGGAGAGGAGTTAAGAAGGTTAAGCATTGAAGTGCATTAAGATTTGAACTTTGTTGACAAGTTGGGTTTCACGTAGTCTGTTATTACAGAAACAAAGAGAGCTCAAGCTGACAAGCCCCATGGCCAGCGAAGTTAACTTGTGAATTGCAATTCTAACGCCAGCTGACTCTAGAGAAAACAGTGATCAAGGACCAGAAAGAACTTCCTTCTGCAATGAGAGGCAGAAATTTTGTCCTGAATTCACAGAATTCATTATTTAGCAGTAATGTCTGAGAGTCCCTTAACATCCAGAAGCAGGCACTGATTTTATTTCAAAAGCATAGCTATGGAAGCAATCGTTAATTAAAACAAGGGAAGATGAAAGTAAGCAGCTGGGATGGTACGGTGTGACTGACAATATTCACAGGCATCCTTAGCAGTGGAACGAAATGCAGTGACAGGCAAGCACGTGGCTTGATCTTTTGCTCAAGGCACTCCTGGCCTCTGAACATGTGGTGTGCACATTTTCAGGCTCTTACAGGTTTTTTTCTATAATATCATGGACAGAAGGACTACTTCAGCTAGGTCATTCTCCATCTTAATTTCCTGAAAATAGTTCCACCTGTAAAACCACAGATTAACTCAAGGATTACAGTCCAGCCCAGCCTACCAAAGGTAGGACAGAAATGAAGCAGCAGGAGTCTGAGGCACCAAATTATTCCTGCAAGTGATGCCTAAATCCTGAATAGTATTTCTATCCATGTTATACTATTTTCACAGAAATCAAACAATTTACCGCATACACACACAGCTTCATATACTGAATAGATGATAATTTAACATCAGATATTGCCATGGAAGGGCAGGAAAAACAGCTTTTTTTAACACCTGTATGTTTCTGATGTCTCTAAGGTACTTCATTAAAGATTTATTCCTATAAAGCTTTTGCAAAGACTGCATTGACAATAATCCACATGCGGGATTTAGACAGGGTTAATTAATATTCTGAACCAAAGAAGAGTATGACAGCGTGACAGGATGAATCCTACTGTATCTTAATTTCATTATCTAAATGGGGACTACAGACACCCATCAGACTTCCACCCAGTTGAAGAAGCAAGAGAGCAGTTCTGTTACACGCTTAGGCATGGAGAGTAGCAGAAATGTAAAGTGCTATGACTCTGACTCAGCTGACTGTACATACAGCTATGAAATACAGATGGTTTTTAAGTCAAAGGGAGACAATATTATTAATTATTTTCAAATTCTTAAGCACATACTGCAAAAAATGTAATTGTCCACTGAACAGAGCAGAGGTTAAAAAAAAAAAACAACCCCTACCAAAAAGCCAACTAGCTATCAAGGTTTCATGACTGCCCTGTGTCAAATACTAATGGACTTTTTTCTTCTTGAATTTCACCACTTATTGCAATTCATGAAAAAAATTTAACTCGAGCCAATTACAGCATCACCTTGAATATGACCCTCTGCTTTAGACAATGAAGTAAATTCTCAGAGGCGAGTTGCATGACTACACTCCACTTGCTCATTTCAGGAGCATTTCCTATACTTTATTATTGTGTAAGAGACCTGGCCATAGACAAAGCAAAGCTTCCCAAATAGCAACGTTGGAAAACTATAAAGCTGATCAGATACAAAAACATGTCATGTGCACAAGGTGGATCTATGAAAAGAGAAATTATTTCTCCTTTTTAAGGTCTTAATAGTATTAGTTTGAAAAAAAAGACTGTAAAACATTTTTCATACAGCAGCTTGACTTTAAAAATTAATTGAATTGTTCCAGCAAGCCCAAAACATACTGACAGCACAATACACTTCAGTGAGCTAATTCTAGGTGCTTTGCATTTCAATAAAACTTCTCCTGGGCGGGTATCCAAGCAGTTAAATGAAAAAAAAAAAAAAAATCAATTAATTAAGGCTTTTGAATGAGGAAGGTCTATACAAAGCTGATACTCTGTCTTATAAACATTAAAACGTTCCTCCCAGGACAAACACTAACAAATAATTAAAATCCCTTGATTTCCTGGTTTACAACCTGTTCATTCGGCTAAACAGTTTCAGTATTTCACCCAAGATAAACAGCTGTCATATGAACTGTATGTTCACTCTGCTCCGTAGAAACGCTGAACTTAGCATTCAGCAGAATGCAAGCTGTTCCTGAAACTTTCAGGATGAGACCAGGGATAATGGGATCACTCTTATTCATGAAGTGACTCATGGGCATAAGAATTTGCAGGGCTTGGGGAAAGCATTAATGAAGAATTCAGCGCAACAAGTGCTCAGGCACTCCGCGCTTCTGCAACATGCAACTGTAAGTCAGGGGTGTGACCTGCTGACTAACAACACAGTAAGGTGTACATACAGTCCTGCACAGCTGGTGCAGATGTCAAAAGAGCTGTTACTTTCCTACATTTTTCCCCCAAGTACATATCTTAGAAAATACCCAGAGCAACAGAATATTTACAATGGCTAGTAGGAAGGACAAAACTTCCATTTGTTCAGTACGACAGATCTGTTGCATAGGTGTTTTTCACAGCAAGGCTGGAAAATGCCAATGTAAGCAACAAGACTTCCGAACCTCCAGAGCAGCTGTACTTCAAAAATATAAAATATATTGCGCCTCTACATCAGTTTGCTAAGGGTCTATCAGTACTTTAAAAATACTATTTTGTTTGTGGTCCTAAAGACACACACAAAAGAAAATTCAGTGAGGCTATTCATGTTCTGGTTGAAAAAGTTAGGGGCATTACCGAATTAAACTTCACAGCTTTGTGTATTTCACACACAAAAAACACCCCTAAGACACAAAAAAAACTTACTCAAGACCACAATCCTTGCCAAAGGAAGAGTCAGGATAATCCTTGCCCAGTCATTTGACCATTACCTCTCTTTCTGGAAGTTCTTCAACAGCATCACTATTTCCTTGTATGTTATAGAAAAGTCCCCTTAAACTGCGTTTAAAAATCCATAGGTATCACGATAAATAAAAAAGCTATCAGTAGTGCAAATGTCTGTGAACTCTAGTATTTTAGCATAGTGAGAACCCTATCCTACACACAAACTGTCTTATTTTGAACTCGTTAACAATGTACATTAAATGAACAAACAAACAAACAAACAAATACCTGGTGAGCTCTTCTTTAATCTTCAGGGGTTCATGTGGATAGAATTTCACTCTAAAGCACATGGTATATGGTGGATGAGCTGAAACATTATAAAGAAAAAGCATGAGAACAGTAGCAAACAAACATTGCCTCAACCACTCTGAAGGAGTGGCTTCCAAGAGTCTTACAAAGTAGCCTGTGTGATGGTTAGCTCTGAAGCATCAGGCAGGGAGTCAAACAAAACCAATAAATATTATATATACATATGAAAAGAATAGAACATACGACAAAGAAGGCCAAAGCACATGCAAAATACAGCTAAATCAATTTATAAATGGTTTTGCACCTCACGACACTTATTGCTTGATCCAAGAAGTACAAAACACATTTGGGCTGCTTTTTTTTTTTTTTTTTTTTTCCCAATTGATAAAGAGGAAAAAATTGCATCTTGTCACAATGAGATACAAAGGTATTACGTATATTTGTTATTCCTGATAATGATAATGCCTAGATGACAAAATGGAAGAAACTGTTAATTATATTTGGTTAATGAAGCTAGAGACAACAGAAGTGTTTCTGTTTCCAGTATTTGATAAGACTACATTACCTACTCCTGAGCTACAGTATCAATACCAGGCCTTAAGTACAATACTTTCAAAGACAGACAGACAGACAGAAAAGACAGACAGACAGAAAAGACAGACAGACAGAAAGAAAAAGTCACAGTAACAGGAATTATTTCAATTCTGCAATCAGTGTCTCTCAGTTTTACATTAATGAACACAGCTTTATATCCCACTGTTATATCTTTGATAGCATTCAAGATATTATCTAATCCTAGGCCAGTGATCTTTCAGTGATTACAGGAGGGACAGAAAGCAAATCAAAGACTATTATTCTAATCAAAGACGCACATTGTGATAATCATGTTAGGATAAAAGACATGTGAAAACCAAGTAGAAGGCTTAAAAATATCACATCAGGCACAACATGCAGGTAGGCAGAGCCCTCAGCTATCTGTAGCCAGGTAATGTCATCTTTTAAATTCCAGTTTGAAATGAGAAGGAAAATACCTCATCTTCAAAATGTAAATGGTGTGGGGAAAAAACCACCTATATTACAAAGGCCATGGTACCTGGCAGGCCTGCTGGTAACACTGAGAGAGGGCGCGGGGATGGAGCAAACACCAAGGCAGAACTGCTGTCCAAAGCAGCAAGGGCCTCAGCACAGTAAGCAGTGCAAGGGTCCTCTTTACCAAAATGTTTACTAGCACAGCCATTTTTAGGCGGACAGAAATAGAGGAAAACCTGAGGCTTCAAACAAAATGGGAACATGTGACCACTGTGCTCATTTGGGAGTGTCCTACAGACCTGAGTGCAGAATTATAATCCTTTTATTAAAATATTTAACTATGAAATTAGCATTCTGCATAAATGTCTGCAATATTTACAGATGCTTACTTTTAACAAGTTGGGCTTTGGGGCTTTTGGGCTTTTTTGTTTTTTTTTTTTTTTTAAAGAAAAGCATTCATGCAATTTTAATTCATAGTAAAGTGCAGATCTATAATATTCTAGTTAGTTTTAAAAGTCTCTTAGTCTTAATGTATACTCAAGGCACAGAGTCAATCTAACCTTCCCAAATCTTGAAGAGATGATGCTTTTACAGGAGGAAAAGAAGGGAAGGCAGAAGAAAAGGCCAAAGAACATTACAGGGAAAATGGAGGAAGAGAACAGGCGAAATAAAGAATTACATTTTAGTTATTGTAGTCTATAACAGTAACCACTAAGCTATCAGAACGTTTTACTGTACCATCTCCTCAAGCTTACTAGCTCACTGGCTTCTATAAACTGCATGTGGAAATTAGTTCAAAAATCATGATATTCCTGAAGCTACTTTGACTGCAGTATTTACCTGAATGCTGCAGTTTTCCAGAAACACATCTCTGGACATCACATAGTTCCATGTGATTTACAAAAGCAACAGAAAATAAAAATTCATTACATCTTTTGTTATGGTTGGTATCTTTTGGAGGGTTCAACTCCTTTTGAAGATGAAGGAATATTTTCCCCTTTCAAGACCTCATGTTGCACTTTTTTTAAGTATGGTCAGCCTCAACAAAAACTGCTGATTTCACATTTTTTACTTGTTTAAATAACTACTCATTGAGGACACAAGGAGGAACGTCAGAAAAGATGGGGATGGAGAGATGAAAAATACAGAAAAAAAAGAAAGCAAGGAAACAATAACAAATAGACACAAACAAGAGGAAATGGAGAAAAGAAAACAAGCCTTAAGTGTTCCTTAGGGATGGTTTGAACATTCAAGCTAATCAAATCTGGACAAGCCCTCTGAAGGCAAGAGAAACAGACTGCTTTCTCTGGGCTTTGGCATCTGAGATGCAACCGCAGCATTGTCTTACAGTGACTGGAAATAGGCTGCAAAACAGAGGACACTTACATCCTCCCTGCCCTATAATGGCAAACTAGAAGGTAAAATGAACTCAATGTCCCAGAAAGGAAAACGGCTATCCAGAAATGCACTAAGGAGTCATGTTGCCTGGGCAAATCAAAAGATAATCTAAGTCATCATAAATGGTTCTGTCTCTTCTCAATAGCCTTCTTAAAACTACTTTAAGGGAGAAAAACTTGCACTTTCAGAATAAGGTTCCACTTAAAAAATGTGACAGAAGAGCCAACCTGTATTAAATGAGCAAAAGCTCTTTCTCAGCAGAAAAGGACTTTTAAATGTCCTGGCAGATTTAGAAGTAGTTTGTGCTTGAAATAGGGATGCAGAAATAAGAACAGCTAGTGCATGGCTCTGCAGGGCTCTAGCTAGTACAAGCCTACTGCAAGACCCTAAAAATGTACTGAATTTTAGCCAAATTTTTGGGTGTCAATGAAACAATTGAAACTTTGGCTGTGGTAAAAAGAAAGAATAAAAAAAATATGTAAAAGTTACAGTAGAAAAACCACACTCTGGCAGTATGCGGTAATCACAGAAAAACAACAGTTGGCCCAAATGCAAAAAAGTATCATAGTGAGGAAAGGAGAGCATACGCGGCACAAAAATAGTCCACATTCAGTTAATAGCAAAGGTTATAATAGGAAATGTTTTCCTTGTAGCAGAAGGACTGTACGTGACAGAAGTATACACCAATGCACAGAATATGCAGGAGATTTGGCAAGGTAGTTTGAAGGCTACTTTGTAAACCTTTTCCTAGACTCAGGCTTCTGTAACAATATTCCTCCTCAGCAGGGCAGCAAGCAATACAAAGCAAAGCTGCTGGAGCCTGCTAAACAGAGGTTTTTTCTCAGCAACACCTGCGAGAATGGCACAATCCTGACCTGTAATTTGAAATGTTAAAAAGACTATGATCCCCTCCCTCCAATTCATCTCTGGAGATGAGCTAAGAAGGTACCCTGCAATTACAGAAGGAAATAGGATCCTCTATTTCTGTTCCTCTTTCCCAGTTAGAAAACCAGCCACAAACTATGAACCCTTGAAAGGGGAAGGGGGGAACCCCCACAGCTATCCACCTTCCTCTCCATCTTAATTTTAAAATGGGTCATAAGCCTAATATTCCTCCAAAAATGCATTTGATGATATGTAAACATTTAGTAAGGCCTTTGTCTTACAGATTTTACAGCACTGGAGAAACACACATGAGAACCTCATATTCTCTCATTCACTATATTCTTGTTGTGAAAAGTAAGACCGGCAGGCAATTGTATCAGCTCAAGAGATGAGACTGTCAAGACAGACAATTCCTCAATTCCTTGAAAGCAAAATTACTTTATACCACTTACTCACACATTAAAGTGGAAACATTAACAACAAACCTTCCCAAAACAGAGCTCAAGTTTGCAGAGGAACATTTCTTCAGCACAAAACTAGCCTGAATATAATCAGTTTTATAATAGCTATAAGTCTTTTCTTTCGAGTGGTCCTTTATCTGCCAGATAAGGAGCAGCTGGTATACTGAAATGCCCAAGGCTTTGTCAGAATTTCCTACCATCACAGGCTTTGCTTTCTCACTAAAAAAGATTCACAATTACAATAATTTCAAAGGACTTTACCGTGGAGAATAGCACTGACTGCGAATTCCGTTGCAATAGGGCTATTAATTTGCCAGTTTATGTGCTAACAGCACATACAAGATGAAGGCAAAAGAACAAATAAATCCATTTAAATGTTATCAAATGCTGAAACCAGTCATGATCTAGACCCTCATGAAGGCACTACTCACCGAGCATGGAAGGCTTCCAGGCAACTGATTGTATGATTTTAAGGTTTATTTCAGTTGCATTTAACTAAAACAAACTATCCAATGTACATGAAACAGTAAGGAACTCCCAACTAAAAACCAACCTGTAACACCCTGACCAGGACAAAGAGGGATATGGGAGCTGCACCCCTTGGCACAGATGCCGATGTTTAAGGGACTGAGTCTCACGTGCAATTTGTTCATTTTTAAGCAAAGCCCACTGAATCATTTGTCTTCTGTGTAGATGAAAAGCTTATAGGGAATCATAAGCCTAAGAAAAACTACACATTCATATTACCATTTTCTTCATAGAAAGACAATCTGAAACAACAAGGAAAAAATATTTATATAAGAGAAAAATTGTTTTTAAAAGCTGGTGAAAACCTTGATTAAAGTTTTAGAAGTATGAACCAAAGACGGAGAAGGACAGAAGGTTCTCAGCTGCCACTTTTAGGAAGGTTTCCTGTTTGTTTTTAACAACCTGCTTTTCATCCAGCACAAATACTAGCTTCTGTAATGAGCTGTACTGGCAGTGTTGTTTTTTTGATTAAACATGGAGTACAGGTGAATATTGAAAGCCAAAAGCAGATGTTGAAGTTATCTTCATAGCCCAGAGAATGCAACATTGCAGAAAACTTCCTTCATCTGTCCTTGATGTTACATATCCTCTGAACTACACTACCCTACCAAAAGTTAGTGCTCATCTAAAAAAAAAAAAAAAAACCCAAACAAAAAAAACATTATGCTCAAATAGTCTTCATGTTCACTGATGCTGCAGAAGGATCTCTGAGGAACCCAAAGACATATGCTGTTGTTTCCATATGTCTCTTCCCTTACCAAATGAATCAGCTGTTTATCCATACCACTTGCTGAGCATATTTAAGACAGACAGAACACTACTCAGCGTTTTTATTTTATGCATAAAAGATACCTGATCTATCATAAACCTCAAATTGTGGGGTCTTCCTTATTGCACTCAAGTAGTTATGGGACAACACAGGGCAAGGTGGATTTTCGTCAACCAGTTATGACGCTTTAAAGCGTGTTATTAAATTTTCATGAGGATCATAGGTAAAGTATATAAACATTTGGATTAGTGCTTGAAGAGTCACACAAAACCTCCTGTTTTCACTGTGCATGGATTTATGAACCTCATATTTGATTAAACTATTTTTCAGATTTGTACTGAGACATGAAAATTGATAACAAGTTTGTTGAGATTTAAGAATCTTTAGAAAGTTTTGCACGACACATCTCTGCATCTGGGTACTTGTTTCCCCTGGTTCATTCTATCTCCTTTCACATTTTATGACAGCATTAGAGATTAAGGAAATTAACTTAACAAATTCCAATGGCCTGACACAGGAAAACACACCCTTTTCGCATTACCCTCTTGGATCATCTGAGATGCAAGGCAGGAAGAAAAACCTGTAAATTTTGAACTCCTGCACATGAGAGCAACAGAATTAATTCTGTTCCACTGTCATCAAGAACAAAACCCATATAGTTGGATATTTCCCACAAAGCAGGTTACAGAATAGCTGCATACTTATTAAACAGAATAACCTTTAAAATTAATGAAAAAAGAGGGAAAGTACATGGGAAAACTCTGTTCTTTACATTACTGCTGATGTGACAGTAGGATTTACACCAAGACATTCCTAGACAGAAAATACGTAAAAAAAAGTAAGATGGGCAAATAGAGGGGAACTTTACTGTCAGCATCTGGGAGAGAATAGTAGTGTACAAAAAAACAGGCAAAAGAACAGAAAAACTGGTTTTGAAAGGTCTTTATCTAGAACCACAAAGATGCAGCTACCTTAGGCAACCTTCCAGAGAGATTTTCAACAAACTACTGGAAGCATGGTGCTCACAGCTACTGATCACTGGCTACAAACTGGTTTCAACCAGTACAAACAAGACTGGCAGTGGTTGGGGTCATTTCTCAGAGACTAAAATTTCCCCTTTTGGGCAAAAATAGTTGTAAAAATGGCTGAGGCACAGACCTAGACTTTATGCACCATGTTATGACACAAACAGTTCAGTGAAGATGGAAAATGCAAAGGCTGATGCTGAGACAAAAAAGATGCCATGCCTTCATTCTTCTTGTGTTGCACCAGGGCCAGGACACATTTAAATATGGTTTCATATGTGATAAGACAAAATATAAAATATTTTGGAAGATTCCTTCTGTCGTATCCCAGTATTACTAAATACGAACTTAAAGCAATCTTCGCTAAAGCTAAAGAAATTAAAACGGTAGCACATCACACAAGAACCTATGCAGACTTCAGAGCTTCAAACATACAATCATCTATCCCACCGACAGAAACGTATAGCTGCCAAATTGTGCTTTCAATTGTTGTGTGTACAACTTGACTGTATAAAGGGATTATGCCTGAACGATTCAGGTACTACTGGGGCCCATGAAACCTACTACCTACTGAAATTTGAATTAGAACACTACTCCCAGTCATTCATTTTCTGCTCTGACTATCTGTCAATATCAAGCTGCATGAAAAACTTGTTACTGTGCTGGGGGAAAATGAAGTTCCCCACAAATGGTAGCTGAGATAAAGCATGCAGCATTTTTCAAATTTTGCTGCATGTATGCAAGTGCTCTGTAATCATATGTAAATCTGAGCATTCAACTGAATTTAGAGTATTTTGAATCATTAGTATTAATACAACCTACTGTTGCATCAGAGGAAATGAAAGTCCATTTTTACAAATCAGATCATTTCACTGTTTTCTGAATTCCTTAATGACAAAGAAAGAAAAGGAAACCTCTAATACAGTCACTGTGAATAGCTTTCTGCCACCATTTCTCCCAGAAGTCATATACATAATGCATGTTCTATCAACCAGTCACTTCATTGCTTCAGTTTTTACACTTTCCACCTGCTACTAATTTCAGTCCTTACTTGTGTCACCTGAGACTGCAATGCTTTTCAAATGAATATTGGTAATTTCTTCTTCCGAGTCTAAATCTTTTCATAGCAAACTGAATATTTTTAGATAAAATAGGAATTAACCTTGTGTGCCTTCAGAAATTGTTTAGTGTTCTACATTAATATATTGTATTTTTAGAAAAATAAATCAAGAGGTTCCTGATGTGAAATCCTTACAAAAATGTCCTTGAGACCTGTGGGAGCAAAAGATATATTTATGTATAATCTACACAGATTCTACACATGCAAATAAAACACATATCGTCTTGGTTTGTTTTCTTAAAGCGTTATTGCAGCAACAATAGTCCTTCATCTGTGATGAAAGATGAAGTTAAGTTACACTAGTATTAAACTGAAGTTGCTGAGGAAAAGCCAATCTCATAGTTAATTCTACTTCTGTGTCCTATATCTATGGCTGATAACAAAACACCTTTGTTAGCATCTCATTCTCTTTTGCTGTTTTTGTTGAGACCTTTTCACTGTGATAAATAACCTCACATTAGCTGCATTTTATTTTGCTTTTTTCTATGCATTCATTTTTCAGTCTTCAGTGTTTTGATTAAGATTCCACCCCAAAGCCACACAAGTCTTCTGATGAGACCATCACATCACTACATGTATGGAATTTATGGAGTACCATCGATCACATCTAGGAAACATCTATACGCAGATAGAGTTGTTTTGAATAAATCAAAACACTCTGTGTGTTGGCAGACTTCCTGGATATGTTGCTACGCAAAGTGCAACAAGAAGCATAAGCCCTTACACTTTGCTGGGTGAAAGCAGTGATACAAATGCAGATTAGAGGATACTTTGAGGAAACTCTGTTGTACTTTTGATAACACATTGGAACGAAGAATGAGATAAAGATAATTTGTAATTATTACAATCCCTCTTTTCTGCCTTCACTAACATTGCAGAGGAGCACAACTTAGTTTTAGCTTGGCATTCTTGAACTTATTTTTTACTGGATAACACTCCAGCTACCTAAACACTAGATATACACAGCTCACCCTGAATATGCTAGGTATATGTGTGCATGCTTATATACACATGTATGCACATGTTGCAATACATACTATTCCTGCATTAATGGAAGAATTTCTTGAAGTATTCCATATAGTCTAGCCAACACCCAGGATTAACTGTTTTTACATATTAGACAATCTCTTAAGCCTCATCACATTTTAAAACAAATGCATTATCTCCCACACAAAAGATACCTTATACTTATGCTTAAAACAGAAAACAACTGCATACAAAGGGAATGTGAGTAAAATTCTCTTTCATTTCATAGCCTAAGTAGGAGATAGACAACAGCTTTTATTAAACAAGACACAACTCCCAATGACCTAAATCAAGTCTCCAGAACTGCCAAATAAACACTCTCTTCTGCTGCTGGATACAAACTTCTGAGTACCAAAGTAGCTCTGTTTCCTGAAGAAGTCTTCGCACTTGGCCCATTTAATGGAAACGATGAGCCAGACTGTAACATTTCAAAAAGATTATTAAAATAATGCATTCCTATTTTGAGGAGTCTTTTTTTAAACAACGATTGTAATTTTCCACTTGCCTGTGGCAGGAACTCACCACCTAACCCATAGCACTTGGGTTTGCTGGACCGTAACAATGACCTCAAACCAGTGCTCTTCATTGTCAGGAAGCAGAGGGCAGTGGCAAGAAAGCAAACCAGAAAGTCCTAGAAGCAGATTGCCATACTACATATTTTATTGTCATCTTGCAGTGCCTGATTGCATCTGACTGAAAATGAGAGCCAGAACATACAGGTCTTCCCACCAGATCTGCCACCCCACACACATCAGCTGGCCTCTGGCTCTAGCCTTGAGCAGTAAGGGAAAGCTCTTGATGTGCAGAGCACTGTGAGACAGTGAAATGAGGGTAGCATGGAGTTTTTAGGAGTCCAGATAGGACATGAAGGGCCTATTTGAACCAGGAAACAAATGAAGCATATTTTAAATTACTGCATGGAAGTACAGGAAAACCTTTGGGCATTTCAAAAGCAGTTTAAAAACATGAGCTCTCAACACTTACATTTCATTTGCTTGAAGATGGACTTGTTGGGCTCAAGCCAGTGCTGGAAAGGCAAAGCAGAGAGCAGAGGTTAATACAGATCACAGCGGACAACAACATCCTTGTAGATGTATATGGTACCAAAAATAGGAAGTAAGATTTTTTTTTCATTGAGACATACACAAACTGGAAAAAGCAACTCCATACTGTTATACTGGAATTGCACTGTATAAGCATACTTGATGTTACCACTGCTTATAAGATGTAGTTGAGACAAAAGTAAGACAAACATTTCAAAGACAAATTTAAAGGAGACAGGTTCTAGTGATAGTTTGCAGCTGACATTTCAGTCTTACACTTTCAGCCTTTTTTTTCCAGAAGAATGATAATTTTGGACAGTAGGGCAGACTATTCAGAAACATTAACATTGTCTGTTCATTAATGTTGCCTTTTACAGTTCTTATAACTAAAGCATGTGTAAATACTGTATTCTCAGTCAGCACCCTCAGAACACAAGCTATTGTTCTTTTCTAGCAAGAACTAAAA